AACCTACGGCTTGCTGTATCCGAGACCACTACCAAGGAAACTCCTGCCCATTGAGCCTCTTAAGAAAACAGAAATCTTACAGAAGCCTTTTCATGCCATAGACGTAAATTTGATCGGTTTGATGACTTGTTTTGACATTCAGATCTGACTAACTGAATATGGAATATATCGATTTTTTTATTTGCGAAATGACGACCTACACACAGTCAAGTTTATTCATCCTACCTCTAATTTAAACAAGATAGGAGTCACTAGCAGACCCCTGGTTACTAGAAATGCACATAGATTAAAACCCTGTCTCTTAAGACAAGATTGGTAAGTTGGACTAATCTCTCGATCACTTGGATAGATTAAACAGCATATGTGGTAATAACTCCAAAGTACAACTGCGCACAATGTTACTGTTTTATGAGACGCTCTTTGAGGGGCATAAAGTGCTCGAATGCGCTCTCGTTATTAGGCAACTGTCTACGGAGGAAACGCCCTCAAAATGTAACAATCGTGAATCAGTGTCTAACAAAAAACTTGGACAATCACATGTATGTTATTTTTGATGCAAATGATCAAAAGAAAGCGTCCTTCGACTGATTGTGACATAAAAGTCGAAATCCTACACAATGGACAAAGGCTGTCGCTTCCTATCTGTCCTCATTCATTCTACAGCCTCCCTCCCTCTGCTAGAACAATAAGTGCAACAGGCGATATAAAAACACCTCGTTTCAAAGCGTGCTAATAGTAGTATTCAGCATGTCAGCTGTTTACTGCATACGTTTTTTAATTATTTCCCTTCAGGTCTTTAAAGTTATATTAGTTACCGGAGAAGAGCAAAACTGAACATTAGTCATGGGTAAAGGGCAAAGAGAGAGTTTAACTATATCGGAAAAAGGGTGATTACAGTTTATTTGTGTTAAGGGCATAGGATGTGAGAGAGGGGCAGAAATCCGTCAGGACGAAATGCTTGTTTCGATGCCCAAACTGGTCGTGAAAGGATGCGGGTCTCAAAGTGCAGCGATAACCTCTGACTAGGAGTGTTGCATGGCTTGCACCAGGGACCGCTGCAGACAAAAATTCGGGCTATTTAGTCCAATAGCCACCGTCCATTTCGTCAAAAGTGTCCAGTGATACAGGAACGTGAAGTTCATCGCTTGAACTTTATAGATGTCTCGACATTTTGGTTGATGACGGTTAGCCAATGTATTTTTGAACGGATTCAAGATCAGAATTTTTGGAAAGAAAAAAAGTGATACGCAGGCTGAACGGTTGGCTGTGGTCTGGAAAATAAATTATACAGTATGGCTCAAAAATCGTGCAAATTTCATGACAAAATTGGACTTGGTAGTTAAGCATATATTTGGTCACATTATTTTGATTCACTGAGTGTATTTATTCATGAGAATTCCCTTTGGTTAAGACAATCGTCATTTTAGTTAGTTTTATTAAGAGAAATGGACATTTATTTTGGCAAAATTCGGAGTAGTCTCATATCGAAGGAAGTTCTTATGCTACTCGGTACGACAGAACCCATCATTTTTATAAAAATGCATCATACTTTGGAAGAAATCCAAACTGAGTTAACAAAAGTGTAAAACATATACCTTTCGGGATCAGAATATTTTATCCGAAATCGTTCAAATGCAAGTGAGGCCAAGTTCAGATAGATGGAACGATTTATTTTTTTAAAATTATGTTCAGATTACCTCTAAATGTTTTTGAACGAAATGCAGTATCGAAGGGTCTTTGTTCGCATTTTGTTTTATCGCATCGCCTAAATGGCGAATAAGGAGTGTCGATATATGTAACCATGAAGGTAATGAAAAAAAGCCTTATTAAATGTAAGCCATGTAGAACTATACTTTTTTTGTAAAGTACATGTTCCACTTATGCGCTTTTTAGAAACGGAACAGACAGAAGCATAATAAGTATTTGAAAAATGGCCATATATATGGCCACTACTTTGCATTCGCAAGCTTATAACAGATCCTGGAAGTAATCCACTTTGACAGAAAATAATCCATTATGTAGAGAAAAGTAAGTTCTTTCATTTCCAGTAAAACTGCATCGTTTATCTTCAGGTAACTTCAAAGCTTTTCAAGAGTCTCTAATTTAATTTTGACATTACCTTAGGAGAAGATAATATAAACCAAAATTCGTCAGCTGAATATCCAATTAAAGCACTTTTAAGGGGGCAACCTATTAAAGAAAGTTTTTTTATGAATCTTAGGAATAGGAATATCAGAATTCTCTTGCGATCGTCATTTTTTCGAGACAATGTGGTTTGCTATTTTAAAGCATTTCTTAATATGATTCACATGGCCGTCTTCAAAAGAACTTATATCCAAAAACTCATTTTTCGATAAATGCTCCTGACGTATATCTTATTTTAATGGTTTTGATGCAAACTTGGAAAAGAATTGACAGATGAACACAGAAACACAATGAAGACGCTGGAAATTCTACCAGAATTTAAAGGAAATTATTAAAAAAATACCTATCCAATGATGAAAATATGTATAAAATATTTGAACATATGAAATTTATTTTTTTATAAAGAAAGTTGTTACCTTTAAACTTTAGAAAAAATTTAGATTCATTGTTCATAGCTAAAGCCATTTGTTACGTCTCCGTTGCTTGGGGATTATCAGGAAATTGTTTATCCTTCTTAAAAAGCACTTGGTACTTCTACTTCTTCTTTAATGTTTTAAATTTGCCTAATGTTATTCCTTATTATTGCTTAGTTTTCGTAAATGCATTCACGCCCGTATGCCAGTAATGATCGAACTTTTACAAAGTTTTGCATGGCTGGCTCATAACGGCTAATAAGTCAGAAATGACTACTCCAGTCTTCCTTGTCTTTGTCGTTAATATTATATTGCATGCAGATGTACGTCTTTTTGACAAGGTAGGACACTTTATTTAGTATATACTCGAAGGTATTTCCCCATGCCGTCGTCAAACTTGAGTAAATGCCAAAAAACAGTTAAAAGTTCAAACGATCTTATATGTGAGAACGCATGACAGACAGTCCCTTTTCTGTGTGCTATTAAGATATCAAAGTCGGTGCTGTCAGAGCTGCTCTTTAAATATCCAAACGATGCCAGCCTCAACATCCGGCATCTATCAATTTCTGACCTAAAGGCTTCTCAGCAGTCCCAGGGGCAGGGCAGCTGCGTGAATCTTGAGCTGCTATTTTTAATCTTAAACAAGCAACACTATAGAGAAATTTTAACTACCGTGGGGCTGCTGTTGGGGCTCAAGAGAGAGCCCAACGGCAGACCGGGACGAGTGCGTTCTGTAACCGGTTGGTGAGCGCCTACCTTTCATGTATTTGTTCGATGACCCAGTTCACAATATGGTAAAGCGAAAATCTTTCAAACAAGTTTAGTAAGACATTCCATGGCAAAAAGGCACATCTTTGCGAAACGTCGTGTTTGAGTTTGATTTTATTCGTTGTTTTCGTAAAACAATGCGATTCGCCTAATTCACAAAGACTTAAGGTCGGGTTTTCCCGTATTAAAAGGAATTTATTCGTAATGTACTTTTATTTTCAAAGACAACAACAATCGATTTTGTTCTGTGATAGTAAATAGCATAGAGCAGTTTCTGGATATCCAGCAACACTCTCACTTTAACCCAAATCCTATACGCCTTCCTTCGACATACAAGGTTTTTAACAAGATTTTCTGAACTTCAAATCAAACCAAAATAAGATGGTCACATGTATGCTGGTCTATCCGGCCAGATTTCTTGAGTAAATCCCCTAACATTGCGTCCTACTTCGGTTAGTAAGGCAAGCACTTAGCCTCGTTTGTGCCTGAAAAGGCAAAACTGTAGCGAGTTTTGGATTACTCTGAAATTTTTTTAAACTGGGGAAATACGATTCTGCGAATTGATCCATCAGACCTTCCAATGAAAAGCGCGCCCGAAATGGACAGCTCTTCGCCTTCCTTCTGTCGACGTTAAGGCTAAGGCTCGATGCGCCTGATTCGTTTTGTTGAGGAGGGTGGTCGAATCGCATTGAAACTCTTCGTATTCAGAGTGTAATGTACTTACTATTAAATAAGTGTTCCTTATTTGTTAAAGTCAAATTTCATTCGCGGCTAAAAAAGCAGATGTAAAGCTACCAACGACAAGAATTACTAAACAGATATAATATGCATAGCAAGGAGAGAGACAGCAAACGTGGCATTCCTGGGTAACGTTATAAAAATGTATGAATTATTTCCATATGCTAACTGTATGGTTAAACATTTGTTTCATTTCGCTTAAGTTACATAAAGCAGTGTCGAGGCGTTCGGGCTATTAATCAGCCAAGACCCGAAAGAGGTTTAAGACTGCACACATTAGAAGACTGAAGGTACCCTGAAAATTAACTGAATATCACCGTTAATTTTGACCTCAAATAGACTTTAGAATTTAGCATAATTAATTCGGTCAAACTGGTATCACCCTGTTTTCCTCTTACGATACTATATTATGATATACCAGCGGGAAACCGGAAAAAACATTGTTCCCTCACTGAACGTGCGTTATTTTCACACCCTCTACACTGTCGATCCACCGTCTTCGGGCACCCTCAAGTGACACCAAAATGAGTCGTCAAACGTGTACAATTTTCAACATGACTATTTTACCGTCTTTTGAGAAACTTAAAGTCGGCCTCAGATTTTTGACATGGGCAGATGTTCGTAAGATTATTCAGACACATTGCATAAGGCCTTAATATCGTAGTGTATTAAAATGCAGAAAAAATAGAAAGTCTGCAGATAGCCGCCAAATTATGTTCCGCTGTTTCTGACTTCAAATAATCTACAGGGTAACAGATTAAAATATATTTAGAGCAAGAAAAACTACCACAGAGGTGGGCATAAAACAGTACGCTAATCTGCCCAGACACTTGATTGGGCGATTACTTGTCGCCGGGTGAAGCATCTGTGAGGATTCCATTCAGTACCGTTTCCTGTAGTGCCGTACACTTTTCATTGTTCATCTTCAACATAAAAAAAGCAACCCAATGAATCTCTCGAGACGACAGCTGACTATATTCGAAAATTAATAAATAAATAAATATGGATTTTAGTAACATATCAATTATTAGTAGCTTTGCGGAACAAAATCGGTTGGCCCAA